GAGTAAACTGTCTGTGGTACATCTCTGCAAAGAGGAGGGGATGTGAGAGGAAGCATGTGTAACTGTGTACTAGCAAAAAGCCATGTATCTTAGGTGGGATTATTTTCACAAACAGTATTATTGGCCCCCCAGGTTCATTCCCACTTTACCAAATTGAAAGTCTGGATTACACCTCCCTTTGGAGTCTCTTTCTCCATCTTCCAACCAAAAAAGTGTTGGAGAGCTTCTTCTATTTTAATACTTGGTTTTGTTAGGCCAGTGGCCCCGGTACCAGCCAGCCTACCTTGTGGGTCACAGCAAATGCCTGACGAAAATGTAATGGCAGTGCACAAGGAAGAGCTCTCCCTGAGGAAGGAACAAGGGCATCAGTGAAAATACACCCACCATGGACCTTACTGGAATAAAGGATAACTTTTCTTCTGGGCAGGCTTTTGTAGGGTTATGCAACTGATCTTAATTTCTACAAAATTTGAGGAAGTTGTTATGCTTAGCCAATTATTTTGGAGTGGGAAAAAGTTGTGGGCATACTTGCTGGTGCTGCAAAAAGATTTCTTTAATTAATTTCGGGTTGAGTTTTTTTGTTGTTGGATTGTTTTCTTTTCTGAGAGGGTGAGTCCTGCTGTTTTTAAAATGTATCATGAAACTTCTGGTTAGATGTGTGAAACTATATTTATTATGTATTATATATGTATTATATGTATTATGCATGGTTCTTAGTTTTCCAGCTGAATTGGAAGAAAATGGTGAAATTTCACTTTATCACTGTTTACAGGCAATTAATTTGGAAGCTGATGAGTCCATGTTATTCAACCCTAAATGCTTCTTCTGTGGTCTTAGTGACTACTCAAGTTGTCTCGTCTTTGCAATGACTATGATGATTTATGTGCTTTAGGGTTCTTTATTTTTTTATTTTTTTATTTTTTTATTACTATTTTTTAATGACTCAGCATGCTTGTGGATGTTCATTAGAGCAGAACTGTAATGGTGGAGATCCTGCAGCTTGAGAAAACAACAAGTTCATGAGCTGTCTTGTTTTCAGTAGTAGTAAGAATTGGCCATTATATTTTACAAATTGTCGAGAGAAATAAATAGATTTATGATAAATGCAGAAGTATTGTGCTTCCTTTTTTTTTTCTTTTTAAATCCAAGTGTACTGGCATAAAAGCCAGTGTATTTTTTGGTATACTGGCATTTCAATATCCATCAATTAAAACAAAAGAATTAAATGCCACTAGTTTCATTGCGAAGAACTAACAAATATTACAAGAAGGCTTTTTTAATTAATACATTTTTAACATTAGTCTGTAAAACAGGCTTAAAGCTGGGAACTTTATTTGTAGGCAGAAAAATTATTTTCTCTCGTTTCTGAGAGGAATACAGTCTCAAATGAAAAGCTTAGCAGGTAGTGCTGTGCGACTCCTGGATGGAAGAAAATGCTGGGTCCTGAGTCTATATCCTCATTCATGCCCCTAAGGATGAATCCTTTTCAAAACTTTTGTTATCCTTGTAGATGTGACAGTAGTTAAAAGCAAATGACACACTAAATTGAAGAGCTTACTCTGCAAAGGGTTATAGGCCTTGGATCTTGCAATGAGATCATTCTGGGTCTTCAGATCTTTTGCAGTTGCATTCTGGAGTCAACTGTGGGGCTTTCTGCTTCTCAGCTGTCAGGGCAGGTGATCCTCTGGGACCATGTGAACTCCTACACAGGCCAGAGGCACCTTGGCTCACTCTGGCTTTTATAACTATCCTCTCATCTCACCCTACTGGGAATGTGGGCAGCATTTAGTCCCAAAGAGTAAGAAATGCATGTGGGCTCACAAGTATCTTGTGAGTGCAGGCTGCCTGAATTACACAATTCTCAGTGGAACACCTAGCAAATTAATGGTTCTGCACTTTACACGTACTTGTTGAGCTTCATATAAATGGTTTTGTATAGCAGCTTTTAACAAAGGACTCTGCCTGAAGAGTAGCTGTGGAATGTAAAACCACATAGCCAAGGCTCCAGAGAGACCATCTGCAACATGGACTGGTTTCCACTGTCATGCACCAGCCCCTTCTAGCACATTTCTCAATGATCCTGGCAGCAGAGTTAATATTTTCCCATGACAGCTCTTAAGAGTTATTCAGACCCCAAATTCAGTAATGTGCTTCACTCTCTCACCTCTGCATTTCTACTGATAAATTAAACACTGTCAATCACTGTCACTTCTGAGGCCAACAGGCCTGAGAGTGCCTGCTTCCATTGCTAGAAAACTTTTTTACCTCCCAAAATGATGTGGTAGCATCTAAAATGCCTCTTGTGAGCTGTGGTTGATATTCACTCCTGGACAGAAGCCAGGAGTTCCTTGAGAAAGTGCTGTTTGGGACAGGTCAAAACTATTCTGGGAATAGTTACTGCTCTATAGATGTTGAGTTCCCATGCTAAGAGTAGTGCTTGGTGCTATTAAACACACCAATATGGGAGGAAGCTGTTTTAATTAGCAGAGCAAATAGTTTTTTCCCAATGGTGTAATGGGAGACTGGGCTACCAAGACAAAACACCCTCATATGATCACTCCAGCTTAACCAGACTATCAGTGGTTCCTTTCTCTTCAGACTGATGCTTCGGAGTAGCCAGAACTTAGACTAGCAGCCTGTAAGGAGAGTGCCTTCTTGGTTGGTCTAATCTTATATCTCCTTTTGCCTAGCTGTGTTTGAAGGGAATCAGGATTCTGCTGTATTCAAATCAATTTCTTCATCTCATGCTCTTCTCTCCTTAATGTTACTAAGTTTAGAGGAATACATTTTAGCATTTTAGCCCTTGAAGTTTTAGCAAGTGAATGAGATGTTGCTCCAACTATCTGACTGTGCACTGGTATACTGATTTCCTTCTGGAGATACTAATTTCCAGAACATTAATGGAGCAGTCATCTCCCTGAATTCTCTCTTTCTGTGCAGCCTGGTTTAAGCTATGCTCTGCATTGTTATGACCGCAGGTTTAGCATTGTGAAAAATACCATGCAGACATTGTCTGGCAACCCTAGGTGCATTGCCGGGTTTCCACAGATAGGACACTCAACAGATTTACATGTATAAGACCTGACTTGTCTTTCATCAGAAAACTCAGAAGTCTGACTCCCTTTCTTGTGATAGGAACACTTCATTAATGTATTACATAATTTAATGAAGTCAGGTTCTTCTCTGTTTAAATGCAGTGCACAGTTTTGCTGAGGAACTTTATTTGCTTCCATTCTTGTCATTGTCTTTTCTAATACAAAAACTGAGTAAGCTTTTCACACGTCAGTGTACTGATCTGGGAAATTCAATGGCGTCCACCACATTTTTATGAGAAAACCATGAGAAAATTCCACATACTCCATGTCATTCTCTTGCCATCAATGAGGAATTAGGGCACCTAGGTATAGCACCAAGTTACCATATATTTATTCACAGAGCTTCAGCCTTCTCAGCTATACTCCAGATTTTCTGTAGGAGTTCTTAATCTTCCTGGTGTAGAAATAGTTATTTGATCAGTTTTAGCATAGGTAGAGAAACAAAAAATCTGCAATTTAAATCTTTGCATTCCCAAAATTATTCTGTGCAATCTTACCACTTAATAAGTCACCTTTCATGAAAAAAAATTGAGTGCTTAACACTTGTATAAGAAGACTATTAATTTGTTCAACTTTTATATACAGGTACTTTGTAGATCAGGGAAAACAGTGTTTCATCTGGATCTTTCCAATACTTGTGCATTGTCTGAGGTCTGTTAACTACCTAGGTAATGGAGGAAATGGAGTGAACTGGGAATGGTGAGACTCTAAAAGCTTGACTTGCTAGAACTTAAGCGAGTACTTTGTACCTGAAGTGGTAACATGGTTTAGTATTGTGTAGAGTAGCAGAGAAGAACTTGTGGTTTCTTGTTGTTTTTCCCAGCTTCTCAATATATCACTCCTTACTGACCAGCAGGACATTTTACCAATAATGTATTTACTCTCAGTTTTAGATCAGAGAGTGAAATATAAAAACACCCTTGGTCTGTTTCAGCTGTTAATCAGAATCACTCTTCAGCAGCCAAGGCTTGTTCTCTAAGTTTAAGTCTTTGGTAGTGGCATTTTCTCCCATACAGAGCTAGCTGTTTGCCCTGTGAGAAAAGTAAATGTTTGCGTTCAGTATCTCTTGAAGCTCTCTTTCTTCTCTCACTTCAGTACTTTCATGTTTCCCAAAGCTGTACACAGAAATAAAATTGCCTCTTTCCTCCAACTGTGTTCCTTTGAGTGAGAAAAGTCTTCAATATACGTGCCTTGGAGGGCAGGTTAAGAAACTGATTCCTCACCAGAGCACACAAACTCCCGTTCTTTGTTTTTGTTTGTGACCTATTTTAATCGTACTTGATCGAAACTGTGAGCAAAGTGATGCTACTTTAAAATTCTGGGTTTGTTAGGCATGCAACTGGAAAAAGAAAATTGCCCTTCCAGAATAAGAAATGAAAATGTTGTGCATTAACTGAAGACAAACATTTTTTCAATGGTACAAAATGCTTGAAAACCTTTCTGCTTGATAAAGTAATCTGTTGTAAGGCTGCATTGTATTAACTGTGAAGGAAAATTCCTGAAAATAATCTTTTAAAGTACTTAACTGAGATTTATAGATCTCGTAGAAGGATTTGCAGCAGTTCAGTGAAGCAATTGCATCCTCATGAAGTCCATTGGTATGTAAGTCTGTTTTATAGAAGCTTTACAATGAGGAAAGCATAGCCACTGTACACCCCAAATATGTGAATGGCCATAATTGTTTGCTTAAAAAATCATCCCAGCAAATGTCTTATCCATAGTATGGTTTCCGTATCCTCTGTGCCATTTGTCTGTTTCCATAAACTAACCTTTTTTTTCTACCTGTGATGTTTTTCAGCAGACACATGATAAAATGTCTAGGCTAGATTCCAAGGGTGGAATAAAAAGCTGTGTTTATTTTTATGGAGGCACTAACAATTCTATTTGAATTGAATTTCTTCATAGCAAAACCAATGAATTACTGAACAGATTGGACATGGGCTTGCCAAAGAGTGATTCCTGTCAGATTGCTAATCCTGGCCCAGAATCTACAGCATGGGTAAGCAAAACCATAGCGTGTGCTGTATTTTCTATCAGCTTTCCAGGTGCTGTCAATAGTGTAGTGTTAGAATATCCTAATTGAGCTTAATTGCCAAGACATAACTCAGTGAGCACCAAGGAGTCTTTCTGAGTGAATGAGACTGCCTACCTTGTCTCTTCCACACTGGAAGGGAATTCTGCATAGTAGAGGACTGCTCACAGATCTCTTTCTGATAAATGAGAACTAGATTTATATTCTAAGGTTAGATGAGAATCTTAAGTATGCCCTGTACCCATCCACTGGGGGTAAGCTTTTATGAAATCTCAATTAGTTCATGTCAGTAGATGCTTTACTGCATTAAAAATCCAGTCAAACGAGAAGCTTGTTTCTCACTGCATCCTAAAAGTGATTCCATACACTGCTTGAGGTCTTTGTCCCAGTTTGAACTAGTCGGGTAAGTATCAGTGTAATTAGGAAATAGATAAAGTATTGCTTCGATTTCATTATTGTAATTGACTCTAAGAGGCTTTTTCACATACAATTAGTCTCTTCATGTCTAAACCGAGCTTTCCTATTAATGTAAAAAGTTTCAGTGAGGAGTATTCACCCTGAGAGGGAAGTATTTCTGTAGGGAGGTTTGTAATTGGTGAATGACAGAGAACAGGGAGCCAAGGAAATGGAAATTAGCACTGGAAACAACTCAGCAGAAGTTTGGAAGTATCTGATCTGGGCAGTTCTCTCTTGTATACAGCCTTGAGCACCAACTGTTGGGTAACAAGAAGGGAAGATTTGACTCCATATTTCCTCAGATGCCTTAGAAATGGGAAAAAATCTTCCCTTTATAGAAATCGATGCCAACAGACACATCTGTCTTGTCTCTAGTATCTCTTCCTGGTTTTCATTGCATGAAAAAGGAAGGTGATATTGAAAATAGGTTCCATTCCCCTTTAATTCTTCAGGATATCTCTGAAAACCCTAAAGACATTTTAGCAAATGTGGGCAGATATATAGCTAGAAAGGGCCAATTTCTGCCCAGCACTGCTGGACAGAAGGACAATTGCAGGAGAATGGCTTTCAGAATGTATTTTCTAGTCCTGGATGAACAACCAAGATGAAGGGATATAGAAAGGGAGAAAAGATCTCTTGAAACCACTTGTACGTCCCTCTTGAAGCACCTACTGCTTCAAGCAGTGGGAAGTTTGCTCTTTGGTAGGGAAGACCCAGCTCTGCAGCCTTTGTACAGTGTGAGCATTGAACTGTGAAGACAAGTGAGCTTGTCCCCACGACTGCCTTGAATTTCAGCATTTTGGTGTGCTGTCTTTATATCCACACAGAAGTGGGTGGATGGCTGAAGGAGCCCTGAACTATTTCAGTTGTACATGTCCTACCTTTAGCCTTGGTGTTCTGCTTCACCTACCTTTGTGTAGCTTTCTCATTCCATGTTTTGACAGGTTTCTCAAAAAGTTGCTACATCCCATAGTTCATCTTTCACTCCACTATCATCCAAGCAGATAAAATACCTCATTTATCTCTACTGTTCTTTAGTACTAGCTGGCATTATACTTGTCTTTTGTGTGGCTGCATTTCTGTAGCTTTGTGAATCAAATAACCACTTGTTTGTAATGCAGCAATGCAGTTAGCAAAGTCTTCCCAACCAGCTTGGATGAGGTCCAGTCCGTAGGCATAGACACAGCCTCTGAGCCAGGAATCCAAGGCACATGACCAGTGAGTTCTTATCTAAATGAACTTGGCATAGCACCAAAATGCTAAACCAATAGGAAAACTAGGATGTTGTTTTGGATGTTACCTTGAATATGTCCTTTGTCTGGAGTAGTTAAAAGATTCAGTTTCAATGTATTTGAAATAGTGAAGTGTGATAAGCTTAGGACGTGCCTAACATGCATGCTAAAATGGGGAATATACCTACATGTATGTGATTTTTTAAAATTTGAAAATCTTGTCCTGAAAACAGCCTGGGACAATGTCATACAGATCAAAGTTTTTTCCTTCACATCATTTCTTGGATAGTGGTATTAATTTAGCACACCTAGCTCAACTATCCTTGCCAAATGTTACTTCACGTCCATGAGCAAATTTGACTTCTTTTGAGTGACTCTGTCATTGATGACTTTTTGGGCCTGCTTATTTAATCAAGTTCATAATTAATTTTAATCCTGTCTTTCAAAGTGTGACCAATCCTGTGTAGATTTTTATTGTCTTCCAACTTGATTAACATACTCTCCACACAATTCTCCAAGCCATTACAGAGAGTAATGAATAATATCGGACCCAGAATGAGTCTCCCTGGACACATGTAGCAACTTCTCCCAGCTCAAAATTGAGCTATTAATAATTTCCCTCTCTATTCAGTCTTTTTAGCAAATTATGTGCCTGTTGTTTTAATGGTGTCATTCTGCATGCATATATCAAGTTTTGGGAATATTCTGTAGACCTGTCAAACCTGCAGAATTCTTGCATTAAATTATACTAGCTCATTTTTTAGTGTGCTACACTATGTCCCTGCTCAAAGACCTTACTGTAGAAGTTTTAGTGTATAATATCCTAAGGATCCTCTAAGACCCTAATTGTAGGTTGGCTTTTTGCAAACAATTACAACTTGTGAAAGACCAGGGCTCGTTATTGTAATGAAAACCTATTGGAAAGTTATTACATTATTCATGATGTATAGTTAAGATTCTTAATTTTTTTGATGCCTCACAAATAATAGCAGGTTTGGTCTCTCCTGTTGCCCTACCTCCACAAAAAATCCTGTCTTCCATTTGTTGCAAGGCCTCCATTCTGCTTTTTTATCTTGTTAATATTTTCAGTACTTTTCTTTCTTCCCAAAATACCCCATCTTATTATCATATATCCCGACTGTGTTTTCTGACTGCTCAGGATATCTTTATGGTTGTCACTGGGCCACAGAATAGCACTTGCTGTGACCACCTGGGTGTCATGCACAGGTGGACATTCAACTAAACCAAATGACTGAGAAGCTTTAGGCCACTTCTTGTTTAAATTCTAGTCTTGAGACGAATCTGTTTCGTAGGTAACTGGAATCATTCAACCATTTGTGTTTGTTAATTACCCATATAGCAATTTGAGAATAAGGTTTGGGAGTTTGGCCCCACTCTCACCACACCAATATATTTTTATTTTCTGCTGAACAATAGAAAAGAAGCCATGCCTATAAGCAAGCTCTTCGAGAGGATGAAAACAGACGATTAGAGGAAATGAAGCAAGAACAACAGAGGAAGGTAATTATACATTAACAGTTTGCATATTGTATCATTTTTGCATGCTGTGAAACCAATTAAATACATTGATTACTTGTAGCCTATGCACAGAGCTTCTCTTTAGCACAAGTGATTCAGACACTGTTTTCAAATATTGTGAGAGAGATGAGTCAAGCTGTAAAATTTGAACAGGGACAGGACAATTATCTTCTGAGTTCAAGGCTGTTTGCATCTGGAAAATGAGCTCCTTTTCACCTCTCCACTTGAATAATTGTGCAGAAGGTTTTTTGACCATAGCAACCAATTTCATAGGCTAAGGAAACCACTTTACACTCTTGCAGGCAGAAGTAATCTTACCGAGAAATTAAGAATGATCTCTCTGAATTGTCTCTTTCTAGAGAATTGAGAGCCATGGGCCCTGCTTTTTCAACTGGGGATGTGGAAATGCTCAGATTTGCTGTTAATTATAGTATGCCTCTCTATGCCCTCACTGACTACCTAACTAAAGAGTTTTGAATTGTTTAAAGAGCAGGCATTCCATAACTGCAACTTTGAATTCCATATTCTGCATATGCATCATGCATTGCCTGAAATGTGTAGTCCCTCTGGTAAGATTTGGGTACCATATCCACATAAAGTTCATCTACCAAAGGTGATGGCACTGTGCAAAATTACCTGTCTCAGCTCCAGGTCTGACTGTGAAAGTACAGGGAGGGCAGCACTTGAAAATCTAGCAAATAATTTGAAAACGTGTGAACAAGTGCTGAGCCATTTTCTGTGCCTCTGCTGTTACTAACATCCAAATTAATGTTAAACTATTTCCCCAGTAGGAGAATTTTAGCACAACAAATTCCATGCACTGAGTTTTTTCTAGAGATGGAGAACTTACTCATCCCCTCTTACAGATAGCTTGCTTTATGTGTTGAGGATGTGCTCTCATTTCATGATATTCTAACAGTTGTGATAGTGGGAAAAAAAAAGGTGGGGCAAAAGGGAGTCTCTTAATTGCTATCCCATCAGGTGTATGCTCGTTCCCAGAATCTATACAGAGGGAAAATTTTTGAAAGCCAGCCTGGATGGGTGTAAAGATGATTCCTGTTGTCTGTACGTGAATCCTTCCAAAGAGAAAATAACCACAGACGTAAATTAGCACGCCCCTAATTCACGGGTTTGGTTTAAGGGACTTGTGTAGAGCTGTAGACTCTAGCGATTTCCATGGGCTGCTAAGGAGGTGTTGGCTGCTTCTAAGGATGCTCTTTTTTGCTATGTGGTTCCAGGGTCTCCTTGCCTTCACAGTTGTTGCTACCTATTGTGCAGAGTAATGCACTACTTGCAAACCTACTGTAAATAATATGTATTTTAAGGGCTCCAGTAATTGTCCCTTGGCTATATGTTGGCTCGTTTCTACTTCAGACTAATATTTATTAAAGTAATTGTGAATTCTGTCTTGTGTGTACCTCCTAGCACAGTGTAGCTATAAAATGTGTAGGTATTGTCAGTTCCCTTTTTTCCTTCAGAACAGGTTTTAGTATGTATTGCTTGATTTAGAAATTTTCAGTACACTTTGAACACCGCATCATATACACACAATATATTTCAGAACATTACTCCAAGAGAGGAGTCGGCATATTGGAAAGTCAGATACTGAGTTTTAATTTTCAGGTTGAATAGTTATTTAAAATAGTGAAAATTGAGGTTGGCTTTTTTATTTCTTAATCCCGTTTCTTCTTTTAGGGCTAGACAAATATTGATACACAACACATTCTCAGTTATTGATTTTCTCCATACATTTATTGCATACTTTTTACTTAATGTTCCACTTAAATTGATTTAAAAAAAAAAAAAAAAAAGAAAGTCTTGTGGTTCCATTCAGTTATTGAAGCTTTTATCTAACCACATCATTTTATTTTAGTTTCTATTCCTACTGCTGTGCAGTTGCTATGGAAAACATGAAAGATGGGTCTGTTCCTTTGCCTTCCCCCTTGTCCTGCAAACCAAATCTCCTTTGCAGAAAGATCTGCAACTTCTTGGGTGTGTTGCAGGCAGAAGGAGCTGGACAAACAAGGACACATACAGACCAGAGTCGTACCAACTGTATTTTCTTCACAGTTCTGGCTAAAATTGCATGAGCAAACTCTCCTCAGAAAAGAATTCCCTTTGACACTGTTTATATACTTTAATGCTATGTAAGGCTGGTAGTCTGCTGCAATGCTGGAAGCTTGTACATGTTTCCACCACACCATTTCAACAAGTACCATTTTCCCTCCTCACCCTGAAGGGAGCCCCAGTGAGCTGGAGGGACACACCACGTCAGATACCCCAGATCTCACCTTCTGCTTGCATTCTGTAGAAGCAGGAGGTGAAGTTCATGTCTCCCTTTTACCCTGTGGGTGTGACAGCTGTATTTGCTCCTGGCTTTGGCTGTTGTCTCCCTTGGACCCACCAGGAAATTCAAATCTGTGTTTTGGGACAAGGGGAAGCAGACTGGTTTCTGGCATGCACCCTTAAATGTGGGACTGCAAATGTCTGAATCTGTAACTTCCCACTTTTTAAGGCACAAACAAAAAAATCATCCACATACTGAACAGAAAAAACAGCTGAGTTTTTAACATAGTGCTGTCACATAAGTAAAATGCTGCTGAGAGAAGTTCTGACCCTAACTGAGGTTAACATCATGTGGAATTAATGGAGTTTGCAGCATAAGTATGTTAATTAAAGGTAAGTTAGTTTGTTTGTTTATTTGTTTGTTTCTCACTTTTATCAATGCCAGGCTGAATTGCTGGAATTTAAACAAAAGCAGGAGGAGGAAACCAGGACAAGAGCACTCAAAAATGAACAGAGGAGGTATGATGCAAAAAATGCAGAATACACTCGAATTGAATTCCCACCTGGAAAAGGTTTCAAAACTGCAGGCAACTCACGCTTTAGAAGACTATTGCAGTGAGGATCCCGACCTCATCTCTGGTTTAGCCTTGCTTTCAAATGAGCCACTAATATCCATCATTACAACTGCTCACTGTATACAGTATGACCCAGAGTGCCTTTCTCATTTTATTTATCCTATCAGCATAGGATACAGCAGAGGGTAGAAACTACTAATTGTTTCATGGATGACTGCTAGTACAGTAGCTTCAGCTACACAATTTGTCTGTGTATCTGTATGTGAACCTAGGTATTTATATTTTTATTTATATATATATATATATATATATATATATATATATATATGTTTTTATTTATTTTAGAATGTTCTACTTTGTCCATGCTGCATCTTGGGGTTGACTGTCTCTGAGGTTAACAGACAGAGAAAAAAACCTGGGATTTGGTATTGATTTAGATGGAACCTGCAGTGCAACAACACCTTCTGCAGCTGCATTTCTTTGTGCCCCCAGGCTGTGCCCCACTGCTGTGAGCTCTCTATGCTCAACAGTTCTCATCTTCTACTTCAGTCACTTAACTGACTTTTCATTATCTTGAAGAACAGCTTTATTCTCAGCTTTGTTTTCTGCTGGTAAAAAGAAACAATGCTCAGGCTCAAAAATAAAAACAACATTTGTTTCTTTTTTTTTTTTTATAATTACGTAAATATTTAAAAAAATACTTCTGTAGGCAACCACTCCTCAGACTGCTTTCATTTCTTTTTATTCTCTAGCAAAGACATTTAAATAATTACCCATAGTAGTTAATGAAGGATTTTTGATTCAGTCCATCTCATATCCCTAGACAGAAATAAACCAGTATTTTACTTTTTATCTCATTCTTACCAACATCATCGTAAAACATTAAAGCAACAGTCATGTCTAAGCATGTGTGTCAGTCCTAAGCAGTAATCAAAGGGGAAAAGAAACAGTTTTTCCAAAGAATCATAGAATGATTTGGGTTGGAAGGGACCTTAAAGGTCATCTAGTTCCAACACCTGCCATGGACAGGGACAGCTTCCACTAGACCAGGTTGCTCAAAGCCCAGTCCATTCTGGCCTGGAGCACTGCCAGGGATGGGACATCCACAGATCCCCTGGGCAACCTGTACCAGTGCCTCAGCACCCTCATAGTGAAGAATTTCTTCCTAATATCCAATCTCAATCTACCCTCTTTCAGTCTAAAGCCATTCTCCCTTGCCCCTTATCACATGCCCTTCTAAAAAGTCCCTCTCTGTCTCTCTTGTAGCCCATTTTAGGTACTAAAAGGCTGCTGTAAGGTCACCCAGCAGGCTTCTCTTCTCCATGCTGAACAATACCAATGTGAAAATATTTAAAACAGATTGAGGAAAACTCTGTATTCGTCCATGCTTTCCACACTGATAGAGCAGTGCAGAAAAATGCTGGAATTTCAGAGCTGGATGGTGGAGAAAGTTGTCAGCTGCATAAATTGTCTCTAATAGTAATAAGCTTAAGTGGGATTTTCCATTTTTATTAGGAAATCAGTGCTTATAGAAACATTCCTTGTGCACTGCAGTCTGAAAGATTACCTAAAGTGAATTGTCAAAATAGGTAACCTCCCTGAAAAACTGGGTGGTGGTATGCAGGTCATATTTCCATGGAGAATTTTGGTTCATTATGCAGAGCAGCCGAGGTGTGCCTTTTAATCACAACAGGCTGATCCCAGGATAAGGATGGTGAATTGAAAATTAAATCCACCTCATCTCATGCCTATCCATGGTTATGCAGCACCAGCTTGAAAAATACAGGAAGATGGGCACTGAACAGATGGAAAGGGAAAGCCACTAACAGAATGTTAAATTTCAATAGTTCGTGAACTTCTCAGCTGCCTTGAGTCATTATTAATTTTTTATTGTACTTTAAGGGTAAATAATGCTTTCCTGGACCGACTCCAGAACAAAACACAGCCTAATAACGTCTACCACCCTGGATATACTGGACAACCTCAATAATGGCACCTTGGTAAGTTTTTTGGTACAGAATGTAGAAACAATTAGATTGCTTAAACTTTAAATTTTTCTCCGGACATTGTTGTCTGTCTGTGTGTGTTTAGCCTGCCTGACAGAACTTATAGCACTGGCTGACTGTCCTCAATACCTTTGAAGAAGAAATTCTGTCTAAAATACAAGCTGTTCAAATAAGAAGAGAGAGGAGCAGCTGCTCTTGCAGCAGAACTTGCATGTAAGGTACTCACTGCAAGGGGCCACATCCAAGGTATTTTCTTAAGTTCAGAAGAAGGATAGTGAAATCGTTCGGGATTTTTTAAAAGTCTTTAAATGAAAGAAGCTTGGATATGCTGTAAATATTTTAATAAGATATTGAAGTTCGAAGGAAAAGAATCCTATATCTATATCTGTATCTATATATATATTCCCATGTAGACTATTCATTTTTTACCTATATAAAATTATGACAAAGAAGGCTCAACTACCTTTGATTTAAAATCAGTATTTGTAAGGATTCTTTGACTATATCTTGACCATAATCTATTAACCATCCATTCATTTTTTCAACTGTCCTAATGAGACATTAATGTGGCTGTTGTTTAGAATTGCACTTTTCAGTGTAAAAAATAAAAATTATATGTATTCCCCATGATGGAATTTTCCTTAAGGTTGAAACTGTATTGATGAAAGGACTCTAGTACACAAATGGAAGAGTTAGGAAGAAGCAAAATTATGAGAGTCTAAGAGAAGTTAGTGTGTGGCAGTGCAGAAAAAGGTGTTTAGTTGATAAAAATACAAAAACTTGAATTGGATTGGTTGGTGAGGATGTGTATGTTGGCCAGTGAATACCAAGAAGAGCTCGGTTCAACCATCTCCAAAGTCAAGGCATAGTTTAAAAGCAGATATTCTTGCTGCTGGAATTTTCTGTGTACTGCAAGTGAGAAAAGGATGTCTTCATCACTACAGACTTTGGGCAAGCCCTGGGGCTCAGGAACCTTGTAGTGGTTCTTGGTCTTAGTGAGGAGCCAGCTCCTCATGCCAGCTCAACCTCCCATAAGGTCTGTGAGCAGATGTCAGCAGCTTTACTGATCTGAAACACGTCAGGCAGTCCAGAAGCTGATGGAAGCCATTTTACAGATGTCCAGGCTAGTTAAAGAGTGTGACTAAGAGATAACAGTGTATGGGAGGCCTGAGTCACCTCCTGAAGGACAGCATGTCTGCAGATAGCAGAATTAGAGACTGCATGCGGGACACAGCCACCTGGTAAATGGTGAAAGTGCAAAAGGTAAAGTCTGCTGGATGGTGCCTGGTTAACAAAGGCAACAAGGGCACTTTGTATCTTTCCTCCCCATTGGTGTACTGTTTCCTGATGAACTCCAAGGAAAATGCATGACACAACCAAGATCCTCAATATCTTACTTGAGCATCTCCACCAGAGCACCTGCCTTTGCCCCTGGAAACCTTGCCATTTTCTGCAGAGGTGGCAGGGGTTTGTCTTTAGCCAGATGCACATGCCCTCCTTCACAGGGCAGGTGTTGGTACCACCAAATGGGCATGCTTAGCCCAGGGACAGTTTTAACAACAGATGACTCTGTGGTGTATGCAGCCAATCCATGTGAGGGTTTTTTTAATATATATTCAAAGAATACATCAACACAAATGCAATCAAACTCCATGTATAGAAGTGATAAATCTCCTACTCTGTTATTTACTTAATGACTCCCAAGGAGCCTGCCTTCTGTTGGGTAATGCTAGATCTATTTTTCCTTTATGTTATAACATGAGATTTGAAGACTAAACAGAGCAGGAAAAGATTAATAAACTATGAAAGAATATGTCAAAATGGATAGGAATTAAAAAATGAGTATTGGTAACAAGTAGAAGAAAGAAAAATAATCTCTCAAAAGATAGGCTGGAGGGAGCAATCTTAGTGTCTTTGATTATACCAAGATTCTTCTCCTTTCCTTTGGGATTTTAAACAAAAACAACTGAACTCCAGGCAGGGCTTACAAGTCATGTAGTCTTCAGCCTGGCATTTTACATTAAAAGGGAGTTAACTGAAACAGGTCAGACTATATACTAAGATTAAAAGAAGTTAGAAAGGTTCCCAAAATAAAGAAGGTAATTTTTGAGCCTATTCCATCTGTGCAGTCGCACCAAAGAAATATTTGTTCTCTTTCCCTCTTGTTTTATTTTTTTCCTGTTTGAACTCTTTACAGTCACAACAACTTCACACTTTACAGAAACTGAATGTTGTGCTCTATTGCTGTTATACCTACTCTATTTTTCACTGTTAGTTCTATTAGCCCGGTTTCCTAAAGAAATGAAGTTTGTACGATCGTGCTGTCTGTCTGCGTGTAATAAGGTTTTCCAGCTGCTGGCCAATCTTAGACAAATTTGAAAAGGATTATAAGTCTCAGAGATAATTAAATTTCTCTGTGTTTTGTGAAAAGCAGTGACTAGCAGAGGAGACAGCCTAAAACAGTGCCCACTCTGAGGGGTGGTGCATTCTCTGCATTGTTTGACTGCAGCCCTCTGGCAGAACAGCATGGGCACAACTCCAGAGCAGCTGCAGCTCTGCCCTGATTTCCTGGGGGCTAGGGGATTCAGAAAGGGACATGGATATCACAGAAGACGTGGAGAAAAGGGGAGGAGGCTGAATATATTGTGTATGTCTGGGCAGAGGGCAGGAGAGAGCAGTTACATTGTCCCTTAAGCAATAGGAAATGAGTTTTCATTAATTAAAATGCCCTCTGGACAATTTGTGTTTTATTAGGAATATTTATAAGCTTTTATATCAAGAAGGATCTTCATGAATGTAATTTTTTCTGCATTTTTGATTAAAATGCCGGGACACTCTCTAGGTGGCTATGTAGTATGTATCCTTTTTTAATAGGAGAACAACAGAATGAAGTTCCACTTCTATCTGTGAGCTACTGCACCCTTGAGAAAGCTCTGAGTCTTGCTGTATGCTATCAAGAAAGTTTTAATGCCCTTTGCACTGCCTTTGACATAAGGATAAGGCTTTTAGGATAGGAAGATAAGAAAATAACCGTTGTCCTTTCAATACTGAAGTTTAATAAATAAAATAATATCATGGAATCATAGAATGGTTTGGTTTGGAAGGGACCTTAAAGATCATTTAGTTCCAACCCCCCCTGCCATGGGCAGGGACACCTTCCATGAGACCAGGTTGCTCAAAGCTCCAGCCAACTTGGCCTTGAGCACTTCCAGGGATGGGGCATCCTCACCACCTTCACAGTAAAGAATTTCTTCCTAATTTAATCATTACTCAGCCGGGACTTAGAACTGAGACAGTATTTTTTCGCTGCTATGGCACAAATGATCAGTAAAACACTTTTGTTGTTCCAAAAGAATAACTTTAAAACAGTTACATGTTTTGTTATTCACTGCCTCGTGAGATTTGCCCATATCCAAGTATGTAGGTATTTGCAGAGACCAAACGCTAATGTGTGGCAAGCCTGTAACAGAGATCTTGTTAATTTTTTGCATAAAAATGGAGCACTGTCAAGAACCCTTTTGTTTATTCTGTAAATGGGGACAGGTCACATTGTGAACATATGGAATTTATAATTCTACTCTTCTTTAATGAGATACTAGTTGTCTTGCTGAAACTCTCTGAGCCATAGCAAACCCAGAATCTAGAAGCCAAGTTGACATATTATATCTTCCTGCCTCATGTCTCCATTAGATCCAGTGTGATGCATAAGAATGAGAAATGCTCCCTCGAATGCTGACTCTGCTCTTTCCATGGATGCATAATTCTAGATATTTGCTGTGGAAAGCAGCTATGCCCTGAATACACAGGTGCAGTGGGACAGGAAACCCCATTCTCTTCCTTTCCCATGTGCAGAACAGGAACTCAATAAGATGCTGGATAAATTTGTTTTGAGGAAACATGATTTACGGATAAAACTATTTTAGATAAACATGGTTTGTGGGTTTGCATTCTGTTTAGCTCTTGCAGCATGACCCATGGGAAAGTTTCTTTTCAGTCTCAACCAGCCCTTGATTTAGGCTATTTGTGACCAGTTGAAGAGGGAGCAAGTCATGAAGTTTACTGTTGCACAGCAAAAAGAGCCACAGCTCAAAGGCCCCTGAAGTCACAAGGCCAGCATGCATGCCACAGGTTTCTGTAAACAATCTGTCTCTAACATACTTTCAGAAGAATCAAGTTGCACTAAAAATGCTGGTTTCCCAGAACAAGGAAAAAGCTTTTACTTAACATGGGAATATTGAGAAAAGAATATTTGTATAAGAAGGTTCCAGAATGCAATCCACAATGGTTACATTTGTTTAAATTAATAATGTGATTTGCTAACTTAGCTGTAAATTGGTTAGTCTATGTACAATCTGAGTTGAAAAGGTTATTAATTTGTTTCCTAAAATTGGTTGCTTTCTTGTTTATTGGGCTTTTTTCTTTTTACTGAAATTAACATGCTTGTCCGTCCTGACAGAAAATATAGAAACTACTTAGCAGAAGTATCAGCATCAATGAAGGGACCTCAGGTGAGTAGGTCCAGGCAGGCTATGGCTCAGTTTAATGATTTACCTCTGGCAAGGCTGTCAAACATCATATACAGATGTGTTTCACCTGCCTTGATCTTGAGCTTAATCATCCTTTGCTTTGAGAATCTCATCCTAAATGAGAATAGTGGCAATCTGGGCAGGAACAGAAGAAAATTCTCACTCTTTCAAACTGTATGAGGTTAAGGATTGAAGTATCCGAAGATATTTGAAATACTTCTAGATTATTTTTTCCCAAGCAGCAGCAAGATATGTTTATCTCTTCAGTCTACATCCTGCTATTTATTTAGAGTTCAAATCAAAGATGTTTCTTGCTAGGACTGGAATCTTGAAGAAAGAATCTTGCTTGTTATTTTAAGTGGAGTTTCAAAAGGGCTTCAAATAATCAAGAAAGCTCCACACAACCAGATAATCATAACTCCTCGCATAAATATGTAATTGTATTTGCACATTGTACATTGTACTGTATTTTTTTTTCTTTTATCCAGGAGTCAAACTACTTGGAATAAAGGAGGAGCAAGGTAAGAATAATTAATTTGTTTGTTCTTTTTAAGACAGTATTAATTTAGCTTTGAATTTGACATTTTGTTTTGACAACTTATGTAGTTTAATTTTGAAACAGTATGAGAAGGGATCTTAAAACAAATACATTCCAACTCTGTGTATGGGGGCCATGCAATGGTATACACCTAATCTGGAACATGATTTTTGTAAAGAATCACAGAACATGCATTTTGGGTAAGAAGAACTGATGATGGCATTGAAGGCATCTTCTGAGACTGCCTTGATATTTAGGCTACAACTTCACCACAGCCATGTTCTCTGCATCATAGGCTGTGCCTGGATAAACCTGAACAGCCCAGGGATGTGGCTGGAAGTGCAGGAGGTGACTCAGTAAATTTTAAGTGCTCTCAAGTGAAAGGGGATACTGTCATGGGCTGGGTTCTTCCAACTATTTTTCATGAACAAACAGGGAGACTATCCATATCAGTGGAGGTTGTCAGTAAAACACCACTATTGAATCAGAGAAATAAGGCCCTCTGTTTTAAAATGTCCTTTTCTTAAGGCTCACTGCACCTGTGTTCCTTTTTGGAAGGGGTTCCCTACTCCAATTCTTAATTCTGATACAAGTACGTCTACAGAGCCTTTACTTCTAGGCTTGGAGAGTTTTGAAACAAGTTCGGGTATTGACAAAGATTATTAGTTCCTTAGGAGATGGCTTTGACATAATTCTTTTTTTTGAGAGCTGACATTTTATAGAAAGGAATTTAAAATAATCAAACTGTTAAAAGCCCCTTGCTTCCAACCATTCTCCCACAAATCTAGATATTCTAATGTGACTTTCTTCATCATTTGCTACTCCAACAGTTATGTTAATATTTTTGCAGCAGGGCTTTAGTCTGAAGAATGGTATCTAAATAATATTGTTGGCTTCCCATGAGTTGTCTTTTCAGTTTTATGAGAAGTAAAATTGTTATTAAAAATTTACTTAAATTCACTAAAGAAATGACAATGTGTAGATAAAGGCAATTCCCTGGAAGGGCAGAAATGGCTATTTTTTGCAGCCCACAGTTCTGCTAGGTTTTATAACCTGTGGACAGCTGAAGGAGTTCAACACATTGGATCCTTTGTTATTTTTCACCCTATTTACAATACCAAAAATTTGCATATGAACTGTACAAGAAATATGGATGGGTGTATTTTTAAGCCTTGTTTTACTGTTGTTCTGAAAACCCATTTCAGCCTACTACATTAATATATTGTTCAAAGAGTTGTTAATACATTGTTCAAAGAGTTGTTATTATGTCTGCAGATAATTAGTACATTTTGTGAATGTAATTTACTAAAAGATAGAAATCCCTTCATGAAGGCTTTACATAATTAAAAGCTAAAACCTGTTGGAAGAAAAGGAAGACTTTATTTTCCAATGGACTTAATCCCTGAGAAGTTGACTTTGAATTTTGTTTTTGCTGTAAAAGATAAATTTTAATTCTGTTTTCTCTCTCTTGTTGCAGGATATTTCAGAACCATTCACTTTTATCTGGCCTAGGCCAAATGACTTCATAAAAGCTCCAAGAAACTGCTCTTTATTGTAATTCTTTTCTTACCCTGACTTCAGCTGCACACCCTCGTCATGAGCAATCTGCAGAGACTGGTTTCTAGCTGTCATTATTCATGCATACATATTTGAAACAGCTGATTATGAAAGTCCTATTAAATTTTTAATAAGAATATATGTAATTCTTTTTCATAAATTGTTTTGCCTCTTGGAGAATGTAATTATCCCAGTCTTCGTGATCCCTGGAAAAGAAGACATAAGTGACTGCAGAATCTGCAGTAATATCTGTGTTTGCTTGCTTGCCTATACCTAGAAAAAACCCTTTCAGAGACAATCTGAAAAAGCATGTAGACTTTTCTTTTGGGAAGGGAAGGAGAAATGTTGCTGGGGTTTTCTTTGTCTGTTTTCTGGTGGTTTTTTGTGGAAGTTTTGTGAAATTATTTTACTATTGTACTCAACAGCAGACCCTCAAAAAGAAAAATGTNTATCTTTTAAATAAGTTCTTAAAAAAATACAACACATGAAAGAAAGAAATAAAGCTTGAACACTGAAATGTATTTGATCGCTCTCATTTTTTGTGATATGGTGTAGTGTCTTTTCTCTTTGCCTGTTTTACCATGGTAACTTCTGTTACAGGAGTGGGGAACACTACTCCAACATTAGCTCTAGTTTCCTGCTTTTCTTTGTCCCTCTAGTTCAGTGGAATTTAATTTGTGTCTCCCAGTCTCTGAGACAGACAACAACATTTTAATGCTCTCTAAAAGTCAGCTACATGACCGAGATATTTCTAATGTCAAAGAAGGGTCTGCAGTACACATTACATGAGCCACGAGGAGAAGAAAAAGTGCCTGTGGCATTTGCAAGCATGTCTTAGGCCGAGTTAAAGGTCTCCTGAGGAATTTCATACAGCGTGCAGGCATACCATGATATTTTTCCATCACCTTTGCAACACAGAATTTTCATAATGAGCCACCTGAAGGTTTTTTTTTAATCATGGATGTTGCAATGTTTGCTTTCCCCTGTGGGACACTCTGTAGTTGTCTTTGGCTCAAAGAATTACTCAGATCTTTCATACTGCTAGCTAGCTGATGTTCATAGGAAATGCCGGAGATCTTGGCGATATTTTCTGGTTTAGCCTTTTTTTTGGATAAAAATTCCTGGGAAAATTCCTTGGGAAGACTTTTCCATACCTACATAGTGGTACTGCGGTGCAAGTGGTATTTGGCTCTGCCATTGGACTTCTCCTTTGAAAATTAAATATTCCTCTCCCTGCAAGAAATCCCTCACCCCAGCCTCCTTTGGTAGATATTAGGGCTGGGGCTAAATGTCTGCGAGTGGGCAATGTATACATGCATATATATATATATCTATATTTATTTTAAAGGAAATGACTTTGCTGTAGTCAGACCCTGGTATTGTACTTTAATGGGACTCACACTGGTAGGTGGTCTTTTTGAAGCAGTGAACCCAAAAGGCTGAGTGGGAGGGGAAGTTACCATTGTTCCCAACAAGTTGAAATTCGGTCTAACTGTGTTGCTGTGTATCCAAATAAAAAGGACTTTTTATTAACCTGTTACTTTCACATTCAAGAGCAATGATGGCAGGTCACCTTGAGTAACCTCTTCCATTAAGCTTTTTTGCTTTCTTTTCGCTGTCTTCAAAGATGAAACTTGATCACAGTCTTCAAAGTGCTTCCCCTTATCCAGCATTTCAATCTCTTATTTGAAATGCTGTCTACAAACTATTTCAGACATTAACTATTCCAGCCCTTTTAATGGAGGAATATCTGAATTTTTCCTTCCCTATCTTTCTGAACAGAACAAACAAATCTATATGAACAGTGGCCCAGGAAGTGTCTTTGACAGTCATGCCCTGCAATGGAGATGATAAGAAGTTACATCCATCCACAAATTGATGTTAGCAGGATGTCTGGAAAAAGCAGTTCTTATCCTGTTGGAAAGCTTCCAGTATCTCCATACACACATACCCTGCCCAAACTGTAAGTTTGAGAGCAAAGGGCTGTTATGACATCTCTTTAAAGGCATTATAATGAAATAAACTGGTGGTAGACTGGGAGAACAGCTTCAGGTTTGTCAAGAGTCGGGAACTGAGAGTTGGACATCTTTTCTATCTACTTGTTAGAGTAAACCTCTGATAAAGGTTTTCAAACTCAAATAATTCCTCTAGTTACAACTTACGCAAACCAAATTAATTATCTTGGTGCTGTTGCATAAAACCAGATTTTATTATTGTGTAACAGTAAATGGAGGGTTTGGGGTTTTTGTTTTGTTTTTAAATTTTTGTTGTCACAATATAATTTGCACTGATGATCTCCTTGTTATTTCAGAAAAATCCTTCCAGCAGGGAGTTGTGTGGATCTAGAAGTTGCAAGAGGAAACCCCCTTGCTTTTTCATTGCTGAGTCAAATTCATTTTAACAAACTGACTGAACCATTATGATCAGCTATTCTGAATTCCAATATAACTTGACAGCAAGACTCCTATGTTTAGATTTTATGGTCTGCCTAAATTAGAAACTACCTTCCTATGAAGAAATGTAGTATTTATTTAAGGACTTACAAGACTGATTCACTGTTATGTACTCAAAAGTTGTTCTTATGGTTTTTCTGTCCCTACTTTTAAAAATACCTTCCTGACTCCTAGTACAAACTTATCAAGTTCCATAAAACTGTTAATGAATTTTCTTAAGCAATTACTTGGTAAATTACAGTTTTCTGCTCCTGAGACTCTTCTTTTTCTCAATGTGCATAATTTGGACTGCTTCATTCAGTTTACAGGTTTTGTTCAGCTTTTATTTTAAAAATATTCCAGATTTACAGAAAGCCTTTGATGCAATGGGATTTGGTGTAACTGTATCTTCTTTTTGGTATGTGCCCCACTACTCAGACACTAAGAATATTATAAGCTACTAGAAAGGGAGTTAATCCATGGCTTACATTTTATGGTACTCATCCGTGTTCAGTTCACGCCTCTGCATCAAGAAATCCAAATCTGTGTTTCCTGTCTTGGAAAACATTTTAACCACCAGTTCTTTAGAGCAGTTCTTTAGAGCAGGTCTCAACACCCAGACTATTCTGCAAAAGAATAGAAATTCATGTGAAATGAGAAGACAACATGGCTTTATCTATTCCATGAGCTGGATGTTACTGCTGTGGCCCATGCCATGACTCTGCTCCTCATCATTGTCTTTGGAGCTCTGAGCAATCTGATCTAATGGAAGGTGTCCCTGCTCATAATAAGTGTTTGGAACTGATGATCTTTAGGGTCCCTTCCAACCCAAAACATTCCATGATTCTGTGATTTTAATGGCTCTCTCACATTGACTCCTTCCAGATATTTGTTTTCTCTACTTTTGCACCTGGAATACAAACTGTCTGGCAGAAATTCGTTCCACTCCTTCTCCTAAGTATTCCTCCACATTGCCTTCAGTCATTCCCCTTTTCTTGTAATCCAGGGGTTCTTCTTTAGTACTCTTGGCTGCTTCAACAGGATCTCTTTCTCCTATATCCTCTGGAATTAAAAATAGAAACAATATTATTGCTATTTGCTGCCTCAATGCAACATTTATTCTTTTGCAATCATTTGTCTTTCCTTTCTGACAGACCACTATGTTTGCTTGACTCCTTTCTATGTCCCCCATTTATCCCACCCTTTTCCATCTTGGCATGGGGCTGCATTAGGAAGAGCATTGCCAGTGGGTCAAGGGATGTGATAATTCCCTTCTAGAGAGCACAGTGAGACACATCAGGAGTGCTGGGTCCAGTGCTTGGCTCCCCAGTACGAGAAGGTGACATATTGGAGTGAGTCCAGCCAAGGGGCATGAAGGTGGTGAAGGGACAGGAGCATCTTTGATATGAGCACAGACTGAGAGAGCTGTGACTGTTGTGCCTGCAGAATATAAGGATCAGAGGGACTCACGTGTGAGTAAATATTGGGAAGGAGGGGACTGAAAGACATGAATTCAGGTGCCCAACAACAGCTCAAGGGCACAAGTTAAAATACAGAAAATTCTATTTAAACACACAAGCCTTTTCTTTTTCTCTTTTTTTTTTCTTTTATTTTTTTTTAAATAGCTTATCGGGCAGTGTCGCAGGTTGCCCAGAGAGGCTGCTGTGTTTGCATCCCTGGAGATATTCAAACCCCAACTGGACAGTCCTGAGCAACCTGCTGTCAGTGACCCTGCTCTGATCAGGACTAGGTGCTGTAGCAGCCACGGGCAGGCCCTCAGCAGATGCTGACACTGTTAGCAAAGGTGGGAGCTTTCACTGTGACTGTCACTGGGTGGAAATGGAAGCTTCAAATGAGAAAATTCACCTGAGCTTCTTCAAACTCTCATTAAAGACTTTGCAAATTTCAAACCATTCTAGGGATTTCATCTGAGCTCTTTCTGATCTGCTCTCATTAAAAAGAGTGGGTTTATTTCTTGCCAACATTAAATAATTTTTTAAATTTCACTTTGAGCCCCCATTCCCTGTTCCTAGCTGTTTGATCTTTGCACTTAGCTCTTTAATTAAAAGAAGGCAAGCCAGCTTTTCCTGCTGCCTGGACCTCTCTCTAGGAGCTATCTTTATCTTTCATTCAGCTAGTGCCAACCACAGTCTTTACCATCAATTTCTCTTGCCTTCCCTCCCAATCCATGAACTCCCTTGAACTACATTGGGGTAAGACAGCCCTAATAGAAATGTTCTTTTTGAAAGATGATTCCCATTTAGTGTTTTCTTTTAAAGTCTCTCCAGCAAATTCTCAATTTTCTTATCTAGACTTTGAAGTTTGAATAGTTTGTTAATTTTATATGAGAAAGTTGTATGGCCTAGTATAACTCTGCTTTTTTAACAAATGCACATTTTGTCACACTAGAAATCCCACCATAAATGCAACTCCTACATATTTAAACTTTTATCTTACATTAAGCTGTGTTGTCTGGTGTTAATTATGCTGTTCACCCTTAATTCTTTATTGAACACATCCTCTTTTGCTTTCCTAAGATTTTGCCCTGGGTAAGCATTAAATTGACAGACCTAAAGTTAGTTTTTCAGCACATTATCCTTTGGAAACATTGAAAAATTTATGTCCTGTCTTCTCTGTTCAATCTTTTGGACAGTCACCATATCTCAGAGGATTTATTCAGTATCCTGCTTTGAAAGCAGCATTTTTACAAGCTCATCAGTTGATACGTCTACAGCCAGTGGTCCAAGTTTTCTGCTTTGTTGATATTTACTAACTCACTGTTTTACTAAAGAAATAAAAAATATATTTCTCTATTCCCATCTGAAATAGTCATCTGTCTGTTTCCCCGAAATAAATATGTATGTATATTACTATCAGAAGTGAGGATTCTGCATTTTTGCCTCTTCCCTGGAAGAGCGATGATTATGGAGCTAATTTGTGAGGGTGGCAGATTTCTGTGCTGATGTTCCTTTGAACCCTGCCTGGAGTGGGGTGCTTTCATAAGCCATAGTACATGACTGGTGGCCACTGGAGAAGCAGAGTATTTTACCATTGTAAAATTTCATCCTCACAGAAGATAAGATTTTAGTAGCCATCTTTCATATTTACTTATTTGTTTATTTATTTATTTACTTTATTTATTTATTTAGTCTTAGATGACAAAGGCAAAAATAAACTTATGAAAAGAAGAAAGTAAAAAATGAAGTCTTGGCATAGTTCTGATAACAAAGGTCTTATCCAACTAACTTCAAAGATGTGAGTAATACAATGGCTCAGCAGTCAAGAGCAGAACAGCCAGGTTGAATCTTTACAACCAATTTCTTAGCTGGTTGGTTCAATTGAATATGATCAATAAAAACCTAGGAAAAAAAGCATTTCTCACCTTAAGAATCTACAATTTCCTCCTTAATGTAAACTCTCCTATTCTATTTCTTGCTCTGCAGCTCTCTCTGTCTCCCCATTTTTTTTTTTTTTTTAAGGTTCAGAAAACTTGATGACATGCTAGATTTGCATTTGGTTTGCTGAACTTCAGGACTGAAATGCTTCCTCCATCTTCATGGAGAGCCTGGTAAACAGATGTTGTGCTGTTTTAGCACATCTTGAAGGTCAGCAATTGCAAGCACAGCAGAGACCAGAGCCTTCAATCCTAGAAATTGGCCTGCTGTCATTATTCACATACCTGATCCAATCACATTTAAATAAAACAAAGACACGTGTCACAATGAACTAATCCAGACCTTTTACTGGAGGTTAAGTGCAAACTTTGCAAAGGTAAAACTTGTAATTCACAAGGAAGTTTCTCAGGTAAATTTCATCCAGTGTGACCAATTTCTTTTTAACCTGAATAAAACAGAAAACAAATAAAGGGAAAAAAATCGGGCACCTCCCCCATCCCCCCTTTTCCCCCCCCCCCCCCCAAAAAAAAAACCACAACAAAAATCTCAGACTGCAAAACCAAATCAATTTTAAAAACCCAACCAATTTTTTTTTTCATTGCTTCCAAAGGCGAGGTTTGGTTTGACAGGCTTTAATTTTTTTGAGTTGGCCTTTATTTTACATGTCTTTTCAGAAGTTCTGCTGTACCTTTTCATTCTGGATCAATTCTGATGAATTTTCTGTTCTCTTGAACTTTTTTTCCTGTATGTGAGATCGAAACTTGAAGTACCAATTACTTAACTCTTTAAATCAATGTGTGTCTTGACTCTCCTTCATAAAAAAAAGACTGTTTGAAGCAGTGATTCATTCTGCTTTCTCTGTGTAATCTGAGAAAATGCATTGCTTGCTCTTTGCACACTGATAACTGTCTCCAGCAGAAGACAATAGTAAATACTTCAACTGAAATAGGTTAAACTGGTAAAAAAAAGCACAGCCATAAAGATAAAATAATTTAATATACAGATCCAGTGTGATTATTCTCTTACATGCTTCAGGTCCTTTTGATTTCAAGTAGGGTGGCCAGTACTTGAGTCTCCTGTAGGTTATCACAAAATGGACCTGCAGAAAGGGCAACTTTTAAGACTTGAGAGTCTGTCTGTGGGCTAACGAACAAGTACTGAAAACAAATGCTACTGTGCTAGCATTTTTCAAGATCTATGATTTGTAGAGGATATCCCTCTCACTGGTTTTACTTCAATTCTAGCACAAGTAGCAGTAATCTTTACAGCAGTCTTCTAATGGTGTGAGGCAGAATAAAGTGCAAAGGAATGTGGAATACAAATATGGAACTCGTAGAGGTTTGTAGTTTGCATGTGGAGAGGAGAAGTGAACACAAATTGTTCCTGAAAGAGAAGTTTATTTTCTCTTCCAAGGAGTGTTTTTACTGAGGAAAGGATTCAGTTTTCTGAACTTTCTGGAGAGCAGATCAGGGAGCCATCTGCTAGGGATCTTTGACACCTAAGATGAATCAGCCTCTGAGAATGTCTGTCTGTCTTGGCTTTCTATGGAGAGAACACAAATGATCACCACAGACTAGGTTCCTAATTTTTTTGATTATGTGAATCCCAACTAGAACAGCTAAGAACAGTTACTTACTTGCAGCATTTTCCCATAGTTGCAACTGTGTGTGTAGTCCCTGGAGCCTTTCTAAAAAATTGCTTTCACAAATAAACACAAGGGTTTTCCAGGAATTACAGCACTCCATGCTTCAATCTGTCTGTTATCACAAATTGGTCTTTGAGGCAAGTAAAGGGTTCAGAGATAAAAATTGAGGCCTTGGCACTAATTGATATCTATTAGCTGAAATCATATGTTGATATTTGAGGCAGTTTAAGCTTAAGGGCCATCTGAGATTAGAAATCTATTGTGTGAGCACACAGCACAGTGCATGGCTGTCTGCTGAGAGCCCTGGACCCAACAAGGCTGTGTTTAAACATTCAAGGCTGTGGGCAGGGGAATGGAAAGCAGAATACAGTGTATGAACAGTGACACCTGCTCATGTGTATATATCTGTGTGTGTATATATACATACATGCACACACGTTAAATGAATTATGTGATCCTACATTTGTGCTGGAGTTGGCACCACTGAGTGGGATTGTGAGGAGGAAATTCTAACTCTGGCTAACTGGCATCTTCCTGTTTCTTCCCTTTCTACAGCCTGCAGAGGCATCTCTGCCACTG